AGCTGCCTGCTATTTTCATGCATCAGTCTCTGCTTTCAGGCTTCCCATAGACATTTGAATGGCCACTGTGAGAACAGGCTGCTGGACTAGATGGATCTTTGGCCTGATCCAACAGGGCTCTACTTATGCAAGATTTAGACAAGAAAAGATCAGGTGTATTTTCAAAAATGAGGTGTAAAGCAAAGATATATGAGTCTTATCCCAAGTAGCAGTATGTGAACAATCTGTCAATATTCTTGTATTGATTTACAAAGCCCTGAACAACTTGGATCCAGGATATCTCAGGGATCACCTGAACCCTTACAGCCCAGCTCAGACACTGAGATCATCTGCAGAAGCATCTCTGGTCACTCATTCTACAAGCTCATTTGAAAATAAAAAGAAACTGAGCCTTTTGTGTTACCACCCCAGTCCTGTGGAACACACTGCTAGTAGAGGTTCAGCGGGCACCTTCCGTGCCAACTTTTAAACACCTGCTCAAAACTTTTCTATTCCACCAAGCCTATGCCAGCAGTTAAGAGTACACTCCCCACAATGGTCTACTGATGCTTGTTTTTATTATTATTACTTTGAATTTGTTTTTAGTATTTATTATTTTATTGTCTGTTTTATGCTTTTATATTGTTGCAAACCACTGATGTATTTTTTATGATACAGCAGTTTAAAAACATTTTTTTAAATAAATAAACACAAGGAATTCTGCTTGCACAATATTCCCCTCTTCTCCTCACATGCACAGGGGGAGAAGTCCTGTTGCACAAGCAGAAATCTTTGTGATTCATTGACAAGATGAATTATTTGAATACCACCCATTAACTTTTCTGCAGTGATCTTATCTGATTTTTTTCAATACTCTCTTAAATCATTATTTGGCGGGTTTCCTGCAAATGTTGTAGTCACAGTCTCTCAGCCTAACCTACTCCAAAGGGTTGTTTGTGAGGATAAAATGGAGAAGGGGGAAACCTCACTGAAGTAAAGGTATAAATGTAATAATAAGATAAATGCATAAAATGGACTGCAGTCCATAGAAACATTTTTGTTAGTCGTTAAGGTACCACGAGATTCTTTGTTGCTTTAGCTTCAGGAGTGAGAATTATGAACCCCAAAATCTGTCATCAGAAAACAATGAACAAAGGGAAGAAAGGTGAACACTGAAGGCTGCCATTTAGACACCTAGAAGCTGTCATGGGGGGGCAGTCCAGTAAGAGATGCCTTTTTGGTGTCCAGTATAAGACCTGAGCAAGCCATCTAGGAATAGTGCATGGGAGAGGAGGCATAGTCCGTTTTCAGTGCTCTGCTCCTTGCCTGTTTCATCATCATCACTAGTGCCACTCTATGAATAGCCACAGAACAATACAAGCAGCAAGTGCCTCCTGTATTTATTTTCTGTATCAACCTCCTGCAGTTGATTTTGAATTATTAATAAGCACTTTGTTCAACGCTTCATCTAGTAAACTAAGCACTGAGTCCTGCAGCAAAGGAGGCCTTTAATGCAATGACTACTCAGACAGAGGTCACTTGGTAGTGACAAAATATCTAGGGGTAAAACTGTGGGCAAATTAAGGTTTCTGTGCAGTGGCAAGTATTTCCTGCAAATAATTTGCAGGCTCTGCAGCCTATAACCGCATAAAACCACTGCTGCAGCCCCACATGATGCGAGTGGGCAGGGCCAGCCCAAGACGTTTTGGCACCCGAGGCAGATGCCAAAATAGCACCCCCCCTCTCCACCAGGGAAGAAGGGGTGAGGGAAAATCTACATCAGGAGCAAGGTGGAAAGAAAGATCTACATTGGGATCTGCTGTCCTGGTGCATCCTGCAGCCTGAGGTGGGCACCTCACCTTGCCTCATGGGTGGGCCGGCCCTGCAAGCGGGACTATTCTGCTGTTGGTAATAATTGCAAGGGAAAGAAGGGGAATTTACCAGGAATCTTGTCTATTATTTCATACAGAATCTTTGTTAAGTTCCCATGGAACTCTAGAGCTCTGCAGAGTACAGTTTAGAACCACTGTCTGATATCTGTACTCATGTTAACATTCAACTGCAATTTTCTTAAACTAATAGTCACACTTTTCATACATACCTGTCACATTCTCAAAACATTACACACAATTTTGCAGGACTGCTGCTGGCATTTCCTAATGAGGTATTTTATGAAGATCTTGGAGTTGAGGGGATTTTATTTAACTCAGTGTTCTTTAATTTTAATTGTGTGTTTATTGTCTGTTCTATACTCCTGTTGTAAGTCACCATAAAACCATTTTGGGTATATGGTGATGAATCAATATGGATAATAATAATATGTGCATACAAGTCAGTGTGTCGCTCCCAACTCTTTTGGTGTACACCAGAATGCCCTGTATGGCCAAGTGATCAAAGCTTGACCAGGCTCACAATGCTTTGTTGAATGCAATCCTTGATCACCTTGGGTGATGTGAGAATCCTGAGGGAAGAGTAACAAGAGGGCCCATACATCTCCAGATCTCAGGTGCCTTTAGGAAGCATTGCTTCCTTAACCTTCAGAGCTCCTATAATCCTTGTGCCCTCCCTCCCACAGCCTAGAATGAAGAAATCGTGTCACGCATAATCTATTTGTATTTTAATTCAATAAAGATGATTAATAATAATAATAATAATAATAATAATAATCTACCAAGTAAATGAAAACAGGACCTGGGAGAGGAGGGAGGACCATAGCTCAGTGGTAGAACACCTTCTTTGCACGCAGAAGATTCCAGTTTCAAACCCCAGAATATCAGGGTGGGAGTGGGAATGTCCCTTGTTTGAAATCATGGAGAGCCCTGGACAATACTGAGCTAGAAAGACAAATGGTCTGGCTCAGTAAATGGCAGCTTCATAAGTTCCTCTGACGGCCTATCAAAAGGGCATACTGTATGACAACAAACCTATTTACTAGTTTTAAGGAATTAATTGATTCTGTTCTGTTTAACTTTCATTTGAGCATTTTTATGCATTATATATATATATATATATATATAAATAATATGCCTCCAACTAGCTAGCTAACAAAACATTGGAGCTCATAAATTCCAAGGTCATAACAACCAACTGCATACACAATAGCTGACTGCGCAACTAAAATTCAGCTGAAATTCCTCATACTTGCAGAACCTGACCTCCAGACAATAGATTTTTTCTTCTGATGATCTGGTTAGACAAGATACATTTTTCTTAATACCCTGTTTGTCCTGCTTTCTACTAAGCAAAGAAAGACGGTCCTTAGCAGACTTCGGTTAATCCAGCAGCATCAGAAAGCAAGTTGCTCAATCTATGGTAGCTAGCTGAGTGGCTCATACAAAATAGATTATATCAGGAATCACAGAAGACACAGGGGGATGAAACCAATGTGCTACTCATGTGACTTGACTGCCTATTTGTCTTTCTGTCCCTACTTCAGATGAATCACTACAAGCCACTGTAAAATGCTAGCATCCTCCCCACCTCCAGCAAAGAATAAACTATAAACAATGATGCCTTAGGGCTATGAGTAGCAATCTCTTTGAAAAAATATTAGGAGTGTCCCACCAACAGAAAGAAAGCAAGTTGGCGATTATGGCTCCCATTCTCACTCTCTTGACCCTCTTCATCATCATAGGATAGAAACACATGTGGGAGGACACTGCTTGAGCTTACCTGGCCGTCCAGGTAAAGGGAACAAGAGCTGGGAACTACCACAAAACAGGGGGGAAAGGCTGTCTGCCTACCCAATGACAGGGCTGATATCAACAGAGATGCAGGAGCGGGGAGGCAACAAGATGAAGTAGGTAGGGAAGTTTTGGCTTGGTTGCCCTGGGAACCACGACATGCTGCTACAGCAAGAATAGGGAGTCTTGTGAGGGAGGAGGAGTTGGAAAGGCTTGCTCATGACAAGTAAGGCCGCCTATAAAATGGGCAGCCAAGTCAGTAGCTAGGAAGAATTTCACCTAAGGCAGGTAGTAACAGCAAGAGGCGGTATCCCAGAAAGGGCCTGACTATGCCAACCATTAACACCAGGACAGCCTATAAAACCATTGCTGACAACAAAGAATTTGTTTGTCTAAGGGACCTCCTGCCATCTAGAACACTATTGCTTGCAAGCCAATTCTCTTTTACACATTTGAAAGGATGTGAGTTATTTTGAAGTTACACAATATCTAATTAAGGACCATAATCCATTAAACTGTTAATAACAGCAAACATTTCTGTCTTAAGCTGGTCTGGGAACTCATACAGTTTAAAGAGTTCATTTTAACTCCATAATAAGTACACTTCCAGAGAGTCTGACGCTCAGCTAATACTGTGGTGGCAACCCTCAACACTCCAGCCATACCCCAGGCGAAATGGTGGCAATATTAATGTAAAACAAATGGTTTTTATTTTTAAAAATGCTCTCAAGGAAGGTGTACAGGAAAGTGTTATGGTCCTGCTTGGCAAATCCACAAATGTCATGGAATGGAAGAATGGAGGAAAACACTGGCTTGAACAGAGGAAGAGACTGCAGAATCAGGCCAGCGGCCCATCCTTCTTACAGTGGCCCACAAGGAGCCTGTGGGAAGCAACAGCACTCTCTCCTTCTGAAGTTTCCAGCAACTAGTGTTCAGAAACGCATTGCTTGCAATAGTGGGGGTAAAGCATAGTCACAATCACTGATCATATCATGACTGTTATTTATGCCATGTCACTTCCCAAATACCAGTGAGTTCCAGAAGTAGCTGGTTCAGGAATGTACAGGGTTACTTTTAGAACAGAGGGCCTCGGAAACCTGCTGCAATCACAAACCTCTGACCCCTATAACCCTCCAGTGTTGCTCCAACACCTTTCAGAGCAAACAGAAACACTCCGCGCAATGGCAGTTTCGTGACTCACTGTAAAAAACCAACAAAGAATATTACTTCCCCACATCGTAAAGTTAATTCTCACTTTCCAACACACACACCTGGGATCTGGCATGCTATACTGTCGCAAATTTTATTAATGTAAGAGTGTGAATTTTAAGAACTTACCATATAAATCCTTTGCACTCATTTTGGCAGCTCCATCTGCTTTCCCCATGCTACCACTGCAAAAGGAGAAAGCAGTTGTTAAGAACAAGCCAGGGTTTAGGATGAGAGCAGCTTAGGAGCAAGTGTAGTAAATGGACTAACAGAGTCCTGAACAATGTTCAGTCCAATTCCCCAACCCATATCTACATAAGAACAGGAACAGACCTTATATACTTAACTGATTCTCCCTCCCCATGTTCACTAATTCACTAATCTGAGAGTTCCAATGATTATCTGAATGTGGGATCTCTCCTAACTCTGGATATTGAAACACTTTCATCCTGTAGGTTCAGTACTCAGGGTAAGGCATAAAGGAGAGCCTATGTTACAATAATACTCCTGTTGTAAGTCCACTTCATCGGGTGCATAAATGAACATGCGTGTCATAGGAAATGACAGCTCCATGGTACCACCACCCACCCTCTGAAAAGTTGTCATCTGCATATAGCCTTAGAGGACTTTTCTTGGAAAATGGGAGCCTTGTATATTGTAAAACAGAAAGCAAATGAGGGTGGGGGGAGGGGGACAGGCCTATAAGGCTCTGTCACATCTCATTTTCTCTCTCTTTTACTAAAATTTGGGTGGGGGGGGATGAAAATTGCTTAATCTTTAGGTTTCTTACTTTGCAGAGCCTGGGTGGCTGCTTGTTGATCCCTTGTGGCTCATACTGCTTTCAGGGCATTCACCTGCAACAGATAGGCATGGTTTAGTTGAGACTGAGAAACTACAGCATTTCATTTACGTATTTGCTTGATGAGAGAGAGAGAGAGAGAGAGAGAGAGAGAGAGAGAGAGGAGCGCTGAAGGGAAAATGTATCTTTATCAGTGCGTTCTGTCTTGAGAATCTGATGAGGAGCAGCAGATTTGCTATAGGGGAGTAACATATTCAGGGCTTTTTCCCCAGCTGGAGCTCCCCAGAGCTCAGCTCTGGCACCTCTCAGGTGGGCTCCATTGCCATTCTAAGAGAACAATGGAGAAGTTAATGGTGAGTTCCAGTACCTCTTTTTCTAGGAAAAATAGCACTGAATATATTGTCTACTTGTATATGTGTACAGAAATCAAATTTTAGAAAGTGTCATGCGTTTCCAGTTATCTGTCCTTCCAAACGGAAGCCACACTCTACTAATTTCTGCTTCCGGAACGTCTCCCTCTCCCACACTGTATTCCAGCCTCAGTTATAGAAATATTCTTAAAAAGTGACAGCAACTTTGTTAGAGGTAAATAAGGTGGTTAAGAAAAAGAGTTCATGCTCTAATGCAGTGTTTCCCAACCTTGTGCCTCCAGCTGTTTTTGAACTACAACTCCCATCATCCCTGACTAGCAAGACCAGTGGCAAGGGATGATGGGAATTGTAGTCCAAAAACAGCTGGAGGCACAAGGTTGGGAAACACTGCTCTAATGTATTATGTTTTTCATTTATCATTATTGGAAGAAGGCAGGACTGCAGCTCAGTGACAGAGCAGACACTTTACATGCAAAAGGTCTCAGGTTCAATCCCCAGCCTCTTGTTGTAGGGCTAGGACAGGCCTCTGTCTGGAATCCTGGAGAGCTGCTGCCAGTCAGTGAAGGCAGTATTGAGCTAGATGGATCAATGATCTCACTCAGTATAAAGCAGCTTCCTTTGTTCCTACTTTACGGCCATATATCACAGTGATCCAATGACATGACTAGCCCAGGTATTTCAGCTCTGAGGGCAAGAATTCCATAATCGTAATTTTACGGAGTGTAGGCAGCACAGTTTGGCACACCACAAATTGTTGATGGAAATGGCACACGGATTTTAATTATAGACAGTGTATGCATATTAGCTATGGCTGCCCAGTTAATGGTGCGATTTTGATGAAGCTTTCCCTCAATGTAAACAAGTTGGGCACAATGGAAGTCAAGTTTTCAAAGGCTTTTTGCTTGCTACAACAGTGTCCAAAATCAATCATGCATGGGAATGGCAGGATATTGGTACACATCTTCTTCCTCTTTCTAGTACAGCTGCTCCAGTTGTTTTGTAAAATATTTTATTATTCAAAAGCATGTGGTCTTTGAACTCATTATTATGGCATATTTATTTTCCATTCACACTGGTTTGTTTGCTGGGTGTTTATATATCTTCCTGTTAATCATTCCTTCCTTCCACACTTCTGAATGCATTTCCACGTCACCTTCCTAACCACAAAAATTTAAAGTTTCTTTTTGAAATTGGATTTGTTGCGCTGGTGCTTAGTCCACACATATATTTCCTGTTTAGGGAAGTTTTTAATGTGTGACATTTTAATGTATTTTTAATCTTTGTTGGAAGCTGCCCAGAGTGGCTGGGGAAACCCAGCCAGATGGGCAGGGTATAAATTATTATTATTATTATTAATAATAATAATAATAATACAGTCATACCTCGGGTTACAGATGCTTCAGGCTGCATGTTTTCAGGTTGTGCACCGCACCAAACACGGAAGTACCAGAAGGGGTTACTTCTGGGTTTTGGCACTTGCGCATGTGCAGAAGCACTAAATTGCACTTTGCGCATGTGCAGAAGCGCTGAATTGTGACTCACGCGTGTGCAGACACGGCGCTGCACATTGCGAACGTGCCTCCCGCACGGATCACGTTCGCAACCCAAGCATCCACTGTACTACAAAATACTGACAGTCTGGAGGTGATATTGCTTTATTTACAATAATTTTGAAACTGGCCTCTATGGAATGAAAGTGGACTTTCTCAAAAATATTATTATTAGTATAAATGGTGATAGTGAAACTAAAGCTGAATGGTGTCTTTGAAGAAGAAAAAACACACAAAGGAGCTTAGCAACACCAAATTACAGGCTACTATTTTAAAAGTTACATTTTAAGCAAATATTTTTAGTGTCAGACATTTAACCTAACAATACCATCTATAAATACATAGTAACAAGTTTATTTAAAGGAAATACATTCATTTGGATACATCTCATATGAATCCCAAGACTTGATTTGACTTCAGACAAACCAGCAATGAATGAGTAGGAGGCTACATTACAGGTGAAACAATGGTTATTTCTGAGGTGTCATAAACATAGTAGGCAGGATTCACTTAATGAGTCCCATAAGTGCAATTCTGTGCAATGAATTCTACTTGTGTAAGGGGTCTTCCTCCCTCCTCCCCCTGCACATGTCCTGCAATATTGGGATTGGGAAAGTGGGGATTATTCTGTCTGGCAAGCTGAAATCACAAGAGTGTGACGTCGAATTTCTCCCAATATAATAAATGCAGCGCTGCCCATAGTCCTCCTGCTATCTTCTCTGCCTATGGGTTTATTCCCATTTCATATCACTGCAAAATCTGTTTGACCAGAGATGACAGTGGTACAAAAGAAATTAATGTATGCAGCAGGGTGAAAAGGATTTGAGTGACTGTCATACCCACCTTCAAGCCTCTCCAGCCTAAATAGACCAAAAAAGGACACAGAGGCCCACTCTATAATTTATGCTAGAACCAGATGTTAAACTACCTGACACCTGTGAGACAATGCCATGCTATTCTTAGAAGCTTGTTAATGAATTCAAATTGGAGAAAATAGACTGGGGGGGGGACTAGGAAAATACATATTTGAAGCTAGAAAGATCAAATAAGATTTCTAACTTGAGCAGATGAATGTTTTCTAAAGGTAACCAGGTTACAAAACAAAGCAATACCACAGATATATTACACAAAGGAACAGATACTGGCTCCAGTAAAGAGGTACAGCCTCCTTTCTTGCTATTTGCAAAATGTTTATCCCATCATATAGTCTGCAAAAGCATCATAGGAACAATAGTTTGTAAAAAAAATGAATGTCTGTCTTGCTATTACTATGACATTATTTGGAAATAATAAATAAAGTACCTCTCACTAATTTCAAGAAAGCTTTAAGGCCTAGGATAGCAAGCATGACAGTCTATAGAACAGCTAAACATATATACTCAAGAGGCAAGTGGGGATACACACACACACACACACACACACAGCCCTGTTCCAGGTTAGTGCTAAGAAAATGGTAGTGTCAGTTGATTTGAATCAGCTGATCTGAATTTTCTCCCCATTTCTCTCTCCCTCCCCATCTTTTGTTAAATCATTTCTCCCAAAGAGGTGTTTGTTGTGCCTCACAGCAACTCTGTGGGAGGAAAACAGGCTGAGAGCTAGCCAAAACCATGGAAATTTTTGAGTAGCAATTTCCAAATACATAACAAGGAAATAATATGAATTTATTAGGATTCAACAACCGGGGTTTCAACTTACCTAATCGCTGTGCCATACTGGCTCTTCAAAATGAGATTATTATTATTATTATTATTAGATATACAGTGCCCTCATCTGCATGCAAAATATGGCTTAGCACAAGTGAGTAAACATGTGGGCTTTCAAAGTGGAGGTTGTGGCTGATCCCCACAGACTTTTTGCTAAACCATAGCTTAGTACAGAGCAGCAACATGATGATCAGGGAGAAGCAAAGCAGCTGCAATCTCTCCAGGAGTCCACACGCTGGATAATTTGTGCTAAGTCATAATTTAGTCTAGCATTACTTGTGAACCGGGCCAGTGTTGGACCAAGCTTAATGCATTTTCAGAATACAGGATTGGCATGTTGATATATTTGGAGGCTATGCTTTTTTCAACCAGTATAAAGCAACATCTATCCATGTTAATATTATACTATTAATACTGCTAACACTACCCCAAAATATATGTGTGTGTGTTTATGTAACTAATGCTTACCACCACTATAATTACCCAAATTTATGACATATAGGCAAGGTGAGGCGTGTGTAGGCAGTGGGACAAGGAGTAATCTAGGATCTGTCACTGTTGCTGGCACTGAGTTCATCTCCCACACCAAGCTCATTGTATTTGAATGCCAATTTGTTTAGGTGGTTCAAGCCTTCCAGTTTGCTGCATCGTAAAGTGCCTGCACTGAGTTCCCTTTCATTTCCTTTTGCTCAAGGCACCTCAGTCTCCTGGAATCTCTCATTGTCTGCTTTATGGGTGTGATCAGTTTCTTCATGTTTCAGAAGGTGAGCGTGAATGCTTCAAATCTAAAGTACACTGAGTAACCTGATGAGTATAAGATAATTCGGATCCCTCTCTTACCATCTTCATCTGTAGTTATACTTCCAACATTTGGCGCTTTATACTTTAGAGAAAAGGAGTAAGAGGAGACATGATAGAGCTGTACAAAATTATGCATGTGGTGAAGAATACGGATAGAGTTAAATATTCCTCCCTCTCAAAATGCTTCAGCTCGGGGACATTCAATGAAGCTGAACGTAGGGAGATTCAAGACAGACAAATGACATCTTCCTGCTATGCACATCACTTCTTTGCTTTCCCTGTGCCTTCAACCGCTTCCAGCCCCCCAAACTCCTATTCAATAAGCTGCCATCTATGCATGTGCAGTGGTCATCTCCAATGTACACACCTTAACTGATGTAAAGTTCTGGAGAACTTGGAAACTTGCACATTATTTTGTACCATTTTATCAGGACAGGTATAAGTTACAAGTATAAGTAACAATTGTTTTCTCAAAATTTATCTTCTGTACCATGACAATAAATAATAGTATTAAAAAACAAAACAAAACTGGAACTATAGTTAAAGTCCATAGAACAGAACAGCCCCTCTCCTATTCAGTTTCTTCCATGACCACTCATTAAAAGAAAACCACCCCATGGAAGGCAACTT